AAAGATAATTACATGGAAAACTAGAAGGCCTTGAGCTCTTCCAGTGGTTGCATCAGACATCAATTTACCTCTACTTTTGAAAATTATTTTAATAACTCTCTAGCCTTTTTGCATGAATAAATACAGCATTCAGCAAGCAAGCATAGCTCTCTCCATTTAAAGACAAAAATCAGCAAGGTCCTTCTCTGAGAGGATGGAAAATTTGCCAAATGTTTTTTCTTTTCCCTGTAGAAATTTATCTTAAACTTCAGCAAGACTGTCACACTGAACCGGACTGAATTCCACGTGATTACAGGGGGGTAACTATTTCAAGAGAATGCAAGAGAAAAGCCTAAAGACTCCAGTGTCTAGGACTTAACGAAAGTTTCTACAGTCACCAGGCATGTGATTACAGCACCCTGTTACAGCAAACACAGCCTTTTATTCCCTGGGCTGTACCACAGTGATCTCTGAAATATTCTCAGACGCTTTGTGAGGGCAACGCTGAAGGATGTAGGCTTCAAATGCGCTGCAGTGCTGGACTTGCATTATCACAAGAAACAACATTCAGAATCTTCTCTCTACAAGATGAAATTTCAGGTTTTCCAAAGACAGTACATACCCCCGATTATATACATAATTGCCATCTTGATCTAGCACATGAGCACTCAAATCCTTGATTGCCATATTTCACATGGCTTCAGGTTTGGAAGCTATCAGCGTTCCATAACTGAAAGAATTACATAGTTTTCAGGGTGGCTAAACATAGACTATCTTGTAAATAACTGATTTTTCATTAAGGATCTAGCATTTAACATTCTGGCACACTTTTTCCATAGCCACTAATTCCACTAGCACTGTGTTGCTCAGATCACAAAGAACATTTCACGATAAATCTAACTTGTCACACATTGAAAGGAGGGGATGAATGTATCATGCTAATAACTAGAAATCCTCATTCACATACCACACTATAAAAACACTTAATTAGTAAACAGGAATAAAAATAAGGTACTTTTGGTTTTGTAAACCTAGGTTCTTTGGAGCCAAGTCATCAAAAAGTCATTAAACCAATGAAGAAATGGAAAACCAGGTGCATATTGGAGCAGATATCACCCGCAGTATACACATGGTTGGAGCTTCAGGGTTGCAACTGTTGTAACAACTCCATTTGGACAATGGGACTTCCCCCATCATGTGAAAGAGTAAGTTGGAATATACTTTTCCAAACCAGAAGAGAAACAATCTTCAAGAAGGTATTTGTAACAAAAACAAAAACAAAAAATTTGTGGATTGTAATAAAAACAAGGCTATTCTTTCCTGCTACCTAACAGAAGAGGTTCTATGTGTCCACTTCATCCTCACTTACAAACAGAGGAGCACACACTAAATAATAACATATAATTTTAAGGTCTTCTGGGCTTATTCAGAGAGTGAAGCATTTGGATAAAATATAACAGCTATAAATTGTGCCTCAGATGCTGACTGCATCAGGAGAGATTCTGGCAGTCTAATTGTCTCTTGAAGAAGCATAGTTACAAACTTGCAAACATAAGAGGAGAGAAAGAAGACAACTCTTTAGTACTGAAAGAAATTTTTAAAAGATGTAAGAGCAGTTGAACAAAAAAAAAAAAAATCAATAAAATTTCCACAGAAACTCATAAATAAATGTTCTTACCACACAGCTCAAGAGCCACTTGAAGCCTGCATTTTTTCTAAGTGAAGCCCCAAAAATATATTTCAGTTGTGTCCACTCCATTAAAAATTATATTACTTTTCTATGCTATTTTGTGACCTTCTTTGAGAAAAACATCAGCAACCATAGTCTATAACCGATGTTTAGAATTATCCAGAGACATTTAATCAAGATTTTGCCTACCTTTCCCCATATTTACTGAAACTCAATAATTAATATCAATTATTACTCAGAAGTTAAATGACAGATAATAGTCACAAGTTAGCAACTTTGACAATTTATTAAGAAACCTCAGCTAATTTAGTGCAGAAGGAAAACTGAGATTATGTTTAGAGAACATAAATATTACAGCTGTTTTCCACCATATCTAGAAGGCACATCATCATAATCAAATTGTAGAGATAGACATAGAAGAGCAATAAGATACAACTGAATATTCAAATGTATGAATGATACAATTAATGCTTTAGAAAAAGGCAGATCCTTCAATATGAGCAAGAAGAGATTATTTAAATTAAAAGATTCAATCACAAGAACTATAAATTATTAGAGAACATTGTTAACCACAGAGCTACATGGTATAAGTGTGTTGAAGGGAAGTGTTATTATAGGATATCTATTAAACAGAAAAGCTTAAGAGATCTCCTCAGAGAAAAAAAACAACAACAAAAGAAATTTAAAGGTTATCATTTAAAGTTAACCAGATGGCATAACAAGCCTGAGACAGTTAAAGAAGTTTTTGGATTATGCTCTCCCACACCACTCTTGGGGATGGTCCTGTAAAGGGCTAAGGGTTGGACTTGACCATCCTTGTGGGTCCCTTCCAACTCAGTATATTCTGAGATTCTGTAATCTTCATCTCAGAGAAATGTGACAATTATAAAGGTTTACCTTTAGAAGAAAAGTTTTTCTTTCCATCACATCTATGCAGACAATAGGGGATCAGTAATGACTCCAGAAGGATCTTGAATACTTTATTTCATCTACTTTACCTTCTTTGAATACTTCATCTTCAGGCATGCCAGATTTATTACGTGCAACTGAGGAACTTCAAGAATTTTTTCCAAGACTCCATAAAATAAATATTTTTTAATTCTTGTCTATGAACCAGTGATGGACTTCAGTGTATTATTAGTGGTCCTATAGGGGTAGATACAACTTATACTGACCCTGATCTCCTTGTGTTTAAATAGGGAGTCGAGTTCCTTAAAAAACAAAAACCAAAAAAACAACAATCCACAACCAAAAAAAACCCACTGACTGTTTTTGAACAGCCAGTTGCTGCAGTGACCGTAGAAATCTTACAGCACTGTAAAAGGAAAGAAAGAAATCCAGCGGACTTTTCTCAAGTGAGGGCCACTGCATGAAAACAAAAATTCCAGAACACCTATATTTCAAAGAAAGTTTGGACAGAATTAGTCTTTTTTTTTTACTACTTTAATGTACATAATAATAGTTGAAGATTCTTTACAATTTTTATGTGAGTAAAACAATTACATGTGGAACAGTCAAAAACCTATTACAATGTGCATCTTAGAGAAGAGTCATGAAAAACATAAAACTGCTACAGTGGATCACCAATTAAATACATGTAAGCATAATTGGATGTAAATGTGCGAAGTGAAAAATGTAATATCATCAATGTAAATCATAATTGTATATCCTAATTATGATCTGCCATATGTACAAAGGTCAAAGCCAAAGCTGCATGGAAAATTTATGTATGGGATTTTCTGATTTTAGTTTGCTTTATCTGAAGCTCTAACTTCTCCAGATCATAGGTGTGATACTAATGACATACATCTTTAAAGAGTTCTGGCCATATATACTGGGATGTTAAGACAGAAGAAAAGAAAATGTCTGGACCAATAAACTAAATGTCATGAAAAAAATCAACTAGTCTCTTAAGTATTAGAATTAAAAAGAGCTTTTACATGCTCCTCCCGCTTGCTCCCAAAACTGAGATTAACAAAATCAATCTCAGCTCTTCGTTAATCCTTGAGTTAAAAAAATGCAGATGCAACCTCGAAATGCATCAACAGCTCACCAGTTACCCTTTACTCTTTCCCCTTCACTCTTTCTCCCAAGATTCCCAGACTTGGCCTACCTTGACTGGACTTAGAAATAATCATTTGTTGTGGAAAGGACAAATATGATGAGCTACTTCTCTCTCTTGCTCCAGATTTTTTGTGACATAAGTAAGCACTAGGTGTGCCAGGGAAAGGGAGAGCCACTCTGTAATTTAATTAGTTCTTTTCACACAAAAAGCATGGGATCTAATCTCTTCTCTTCTGAGCACTTTTAAAATTTTTTTCCTATAGATACAAGTTTCAATACAGCTACTGATTACTCTTCATTAATAAAGGCAATCTGATATTTTTAGTAGGCTACAACAAGGTCTTCTTTTGCTTTCCAGTGATTATGAAATGTTATGATTACCTGTTCTTTAATGTTCTTAATTTTTAGGAGCATGGCATTTTCTAAAGGATTAAAAAGAGCTAACTTCTGTCTGCTTTTGACAAACATAAGGTACTATAACACAGAGGAGAAAGGAAGGCATCATGATTGATCCAAAACTATGTTACAAAAGTCTTCCATCTAGGAACACAACATAGTGATTTTTCAATATTGTCATGTATTTCTAATTTTGCATCCAAAAGTTAAACATACAGACATATGTTAAATGTGCAGAAATGAAGAAATTTAGTGATATTCCACTTCAGCCTAAGCATTCAGTGCCTGATTCTTCTTCTCTGACATCATTATTACATAAGTATGTTCCAAGACAGTGTTATTTATCTCAGTTTTTATAAAACAATCCTTTAATATGGTTGGATTAAATTAACTCATATCTAAAATATGTGTACAGTAATGGAACTGAGGAATTTACTTTCCCTTCCAGGATTCACAGAACAAGTATTACATATTCAGAAGTTTATTTTTATGAATATGGACTAATGTGAGCCTACTAATGCTCTCCATACTGAACTGCAAAATGTTGCAAAATCTTGTGTTAACTTACATTCATCAGAATCTGAAGTCTACTATGGGAGACCAAAAAAAATAATGAGTTTAAAATAATTACAGAAGAATTCTAATTTCATTGAAGTCAATGAAATTATTTCTGATGCAAATTTGGGCAAGATAACATGGTACTGGGGAGTTTTTAATTTTTTATTTAATCACTCTCTGATTTAATACACTTCAACTCAATAAAATCAGTAGCTTTCTCCTTTACTTAAAAACCATAACAACTGCCCAATGAAGTTGAAAGACAGGAAGGCAGACAACAGTGCTGAGGATTTGCTGATGGCTGTGTACATACCACCTTTCATCATTCCCACTTCATAGCATTTTCTCAGTCGACAAGCCTGGCAACTCTTTCTTCTGTTCTTGTCGATGGTGCACTGGTTAGTAGCAGGACACATGTAGTCATTGTGCCCTGTAAAACCAGAGGGAAAGTAAGGACATGGTTATACACAGACACAACAAAACAGACTGTAATAGTCCCTTGTTCTTCACTGAGTATTTATTTAGTACATCATCTAACATCTCAGGAAGGAGGTAAGGTTAACATCATAAGCTGTCATAAAAGTATTGATACAGATTGTGAACTAACATCTCTTCACCACACATTTATTCACAAGGTCTTTAAAAGTTAAAACACAAATTAAAACTTCTGTAGGCTAATTAAAATAAGGAACAATTGAAGCATTTATGAAAGAGGATAGATTAATATGAACAAGTGCCTTGAATTCCTTGATTTTAGCCTAAGAAATACAATGCCATCTGGTTTTGTGTGCATGTTGATGTTTAACCAATAGACTGCACAAAATGAGGTTTATAAAATTTAAAAGGTCTATGCACATAAGATTTTATCTACTACAGTCTGGGACAGTTAAGAAACAAACAACAATATAAAATAGAAGCAACCATTGTTAATTAATTAATTGTACCTCTTGGATAAATGTCACTAATTCCAACTGCATGTCTGATACATGAAAAAACTTTTAGTCATGACGAATTCTAAAATTATCATATACTGAAACCAAGCTTGTTACTTGTATCTTTCCTTTCAGAGCTCCCCTTCCTCATTTATTAGCCTCTACATCTCAATACTAGTAACAAGTATTTTTAGTGTACCATAATTTGTTACTGTCAACAAATCTCTATTCTAATTTGCTCTTAAAAATGTGTGTCTAAATCTGCTATAAAATTATTTTCCAACCATAGATAAAGTTAAGCAAGGACAAAAAAAGACTTCAATTTTATCTCATCGGTGCTCTATATTCATCTGAACACAACTAAGGTACAGCACACAACAACAAAGAAATATTGCAGAACTGTTTGTTCTTTCTTTCAGGTCGAGGGATCAGCTTGAGGTAGAGTGGAGGTTTGACAGAGGCCTTGGTCTAATCAAATCATCTATCCTTGACTACAAATTAGAAAATAAAGTAAAAATTACTATCAGGTTACACCAGGAACATCTGCTCTCTAATGCTGTATAACTAGGATCTCATAAAAATAAGTAGCCAAACTGCAAACTTGTTAATGAGGGGGACAACTGACTATACACTCTCTCAAAGAGATAGAATTATTATTTTTTAGGTCTACTGGACAGAACAGCATAATCCTGGCAAAATATGATGCTTCACTCCAGGACTGAGGTAAAAAGGCGCAACTGAAACACCACTTCAACGCAGCATGAAAGGCCGTTTTAATTTTCAGTTCCTCTGGTGGGATACAGACTGTTCTATATCTGATTCAAAACATTTAACATGTAAGGAAAATAAAATCAAGTCATAAAGAAAACAGCCTCAACCATGTATGTAGTATCTATAGGGAAAAGAAGCAGCAAAAGAAAGACATGTTTTTAAGAAAATGCACTTTTACTGGGTCATACTAAACAGCAGCAAAAGATTGTAGCACCTGAACTCAATCGCCAGCCTTGTTTCATAAGCCAAGCTCAGAAATAGCATGAGATAAAGATGGAAAAGTTTAATTACTCTTTTTAAAAGCAAAGAAATACTTTGGCAGAGTAGCTAATCTTCTTCCTAGTGAAGTTAAAAGGTAAATTCACATGGTGAATGATTGCAGGCTTTGAAAACAGCAAATAATTTAGAACACCATTTAGGTCTCTCTAAAATAAGCAGATAAATGTTCCCACTTAGGTCAAAGCTGAACATATGCTTACTGCCTTTGCTGGACTGGCTGATGCTCATAATGTTGAGATCTCCAAAGGAAAAAAAAAACCGGGAAGTGACTATGCAAAAACCAAAAATCAAGTAGAATCAATACCATCAGCCATCATTCTTTGCTGTGCTTATGTGGCTGATGACCTTTTCCTTTGCTCTGAATCTATATTTCCTTATGCAAACTGTGTTTGGAACTAGGCACTTGATTTGTAGAATAGTACATAAAATCATCCTATTTGTAACAGAGCTACAGTTCCTACATTCATATTATCATATTTTTTCCATTTGAAGAGTTTTATCATGAATTTACCATTTTAAGGCTAGCATAATTTGTGTGTTTTCATACACATGATTTGCTGTCTAGACAATCCTCTGTTCTTTCAAAGTGCTTGACAGACTTCACAGAATAAAGACTGTAAAACTTGGCTGCAAAAAAAAGAATATATTAGGATATATTGTGTCATAATAATAGAACAAGAGCAATTAACACAGAATTTTTTTTATTAAATGTGTAAACATTTGCCATATTATATTACAATAAATATCAAGATCAGCTGTAGGGAATGGTTAGTTTAAGCAGCACAAAATTGTACAAAGAAATTAAGAAACTAATATGCTGGTGTGTCAGCTTAAGAATGCTTAATGACAACTTTACAAAGTCAATAAAGGAATATTTTTATTCAAGTGAATTTTGTGTGACACCTCAACTGAGATGGTTGCATTGACTCATCATGCATTTTGAAAAAGCCAGTAATAATTATTCTTTTATTAATATTTGCTTTTCCTTTAATTATTCTTTTATTTTCAATCCTCAAGTCACACATATTTCTTAAACTATTCTTTATCTAGCTGCATAAGGTAGCTACCAGGTTAGCCATTACCTTTGGAAGGATCAGATGCTTCTGTGATGCTATTCTGTGAAATTAGCAACATTTTCATACATTTCAGCTAGGATGAAAGGAAGGTTAGAGTGTAGATTTTATCCACACCTTAAGGTGCCAAGCAAGTGACAGGTGGGAAGACTGCAGCTGAAAAAATAAACCTTGAAAAGAATAGCCCCACTAGCAAGAGGAAAGTTTACTTAAGAGCAAAAAGAAAAAAAAATAGGCACATGGACATTGCATATGTTAACCCAGTAAAAGCAAATGTTGAATGAATTAAAATAAAAATCTACACAAATTTTAAGTTAAAGGGCCCCAATAAAACTGCACTGATTGGTTTTAAAATCCCACTCTTTCCTAACAGATTTCACAGACGAACAGAAGGTTATGCCTAATTCCTTTATAAGCACAGACACTCAAATTCACAGCTTAATTACCCTCAGACAAGGTCTCTGGAGTTGGAACTTGGGTTCTCTTAGCAACTACCCAGGACTTCTGAGGAGATTAATCTTCTTTCTGGTTTTAAACTAGCAGCACATAAGTGCATGTCACAGTAAGGAAAAAGGCCTAGAAGACTCTAAAATATACTTCATTTGCATCCAGTGCAGAAGTCCTCCTTCTACACATACCTCAGAAAGAAAGATTATGAAATATCCTGAGTTGGAAGGATCATCCACAAGGATCATCAAGTTCAACTTGTGGCCCTGCCCAGGACCATCCCCAAGAATCACACATTAATCACAGAACTACTGAAGAATGAGAAAGGAGGAAAGGTTAAAACCTATATATTCTGTATTACGTCCTTCAACTACATCATGTAGCTTCCACACTGTGTTTACCTTCTAGTGTCTTCATGCATGCATATGTTCACATATTTTTTCCTCATGACAAATAAAAAAGATGAAAATACAGATCCAATCTCTACAAAATCTGGCAAGGAGTGTAACATCAAGTTTCTGTTTCCCTAGCTAATAAATCACAATTGTTTTAAATCCTTGGCACATGATTAAAACAACAGCTGTGTTAAAGGGAAAAACTCCCACAATGTATTACTCACAACCATCTCAGTATGATCCCTCCAGAGACAAAAAGCATTTTCAGAGAGAGCTGTAGGCAAGTCATGGCCATCCTATTCCCATAGACTTTGAATGAATCTCTTGTATTTTTAGCTTCCCAGCTAATTTGATCTAAAATGGGAAGGGGTAGAATTCTACTACAGAAAACTCCCACAATATAAAGAAGTTAAAAATATTGCAAATTACTCATGTGCACTTGAAATACAATCAATTCCTAGCAACAAGAAAATTAATATAAATGCATTTTTATTACAGTTATAGCAACAGGTTTGGATCATCAGTACCTGAATGGTTCCTGGTATAATGTATTTTTCAAGGTGCTGTAACGTAGTTATCCTCAGAGTACTCTTGCAAAGAAATTGCAAGTATTTTTATTTTACTGTGGGGAAGAGGGTTGTGATAAAGGATTCTCACTGTGCAGAGCATGCAGCGGACGTGAGCATTTCTAAGCACAGTGACTTTTCTGCACTGAAATCTGTGAAACTGAAACTTTAGTACAGTCAACTGCTGGTTTGTTAAATTATTATACTACTCTTTGACATCAGTATTTTGACCAAAAAAAGACTGTTTTCTGCCTATGTACTGCTTTCTTATGTAAAGCAAAACTAGTTATTCTCTTCTTTAATTTACTGATATATACCTGTGATCCTTGATTTTGCTTGCTTATACCATCCACGCCATCCATAATACCATGCATGCTCTATAGAAGAGAAGGGTCAACTAACACATCTTAGTCTCTTTTTCTGCATATGTCTACCCAGATTTTAAAGTGGGGAACAGCTGTGCCATTTGTAACAAAGGAAGCCCAACTATTTCAACAATTTGTCATAAAATTGAATCAAATATTTGAGAGAAATACATAATCTTATTCAAAAGATTCAGGCAATAAAGTATTCACTGCATCTGCTACTAAATTATACCAGCAGTTAATCGCCACTCTAGTTCTAAACTAGTACACATACTTAAATAAAGCTTGTTAATAGTCTCCTTTTGGAAATAAATTATGTCATGTGCTTCCGGTACATTTATCATTTTAGTTATTTGATGCAGTTTTCTCTAGTTTGATTTCCACTTTTCAAAAGTGACTGCAATGGACAACTTAACCTGCAGAAAGTCTGAAAGCCTGTGGGAGTGAAACTTATGGAGCCATTTTAAATTAATAAACCCACCTCAGTTAAAGGAGGTTACAAAAATATATTTCCTGTCACAGTCACTAAAACGAAGTGGAACAATTAAGCACTTTCCTGCTGGACTAAAAAAAAATGCATGTTCTATTGTAATTTTTAAATG